ATCATTTAAGGCCCTCTGCCATTCCCCCACAGTTTATCTAAACATAGGTTTAGAAAAAAACACAAAAAACGCCAACTTAAAATTTTTAAACATAGTAGAAGAAAAATGGCCACGCTGGAATTTATTTTTCACCGATGCCTCGAAATTAGTTTCAAATGGTAACACTGGTGCTGCTTTCTATCACCCAAACGCAAATCATTACAAATTGCACAAACTACCCCCAGAAACCTCAGTATTTACGGGCGAGTGTATTGCATTGATAAGCTGTCTAAAGTTTATTATGCAGCACTCAATTAACTACTCCGCGATATTCAGTGATTGTTCTAGCGCTATTCAAGCCATTTCAAAGAACCCGATAAAGAATTGTTTAGAAAATCCGCTCGTTTGTGTAATCAAAAACCTGTTGTTCACCTGTCATCAAAACAACATTAAAGTTGAAATAGTTTGGATCCCTTCACATACAGGAATTCTTGGGAATGAAACTGTAGATCAAATGGCTAAAGAAGCAACACATAGTGGTGATAGTGAGTACTACGCGAATGTAAGTCGTGATCTTATTTATAATATTAAACTTAATCTCGTATCAGACTGGCAAAAGCAATGGGAGACCTACAAATATCAATATTCTAAAATAAATCCTAGTGTCTTTATCAATCCTTGGTTCTATAAGTTCAAAAAATTCAACAAGCAAATAACTAGTGTACTTATCAGGCTTCGATTGGGTCACTTTTGCTCACCACAATTCTTATTTAAGCTAAAAATTAAACCTTCTCCTATGTGTAGTTGCGGTAAATCTATCGGTACTTTAGATCATATCTTTCTGGAATGCGCTCTTAATGATGAATGCCCACCACTATATTGTTTACTAACTAACACTAACATCCCGTTCCCAGTTAATATGAACTATCTCTTAACATTCCCTAATCCTAAAGTTGTAAATGTATTAGCTTATTTTATTTCCCGCAATAACATTAAACTGTAAAAATATTTACAAATTTTTCTCCCGTTCTCATTCATCTCATCTGCTATCATCTATTTAAATCACTGATATTCTATCTACCTGACATTGGCAGAGTTATTCGTCAAAGAAGAGACTCGAGCCATAAAAAAAAAAAAAAAATCGCTTGTTGCTCGCCCATTTAGCGACTACTGAGGGTGAGTCAAGAGCTAAGCTGTAAAGCACCTCTGTATGCAATACCTTTGTGGAAAAACAACCAAGTCGTGTAAAGTTGTGAGCCAACGGGATATTCCGTGCAACGCTGACTGTATGGTCCAGTTGTAATGGCACCGCATAATGTCAGTCTGGCATTCCGTAGGTGTTGGGAGATTGGGAGAGAAGCGCTCCGCATTAACTAACGCTAACGGCCCACCTGGTGTTAAATGGTCACTGGAGCCCATAGACACCAACCACGACAATGCCGCCTCCCATCTTGAGACATGTGGCATTAACTAACGCTAACGGCCCACCTGGTCTTAAATGGTCACTGGAGCCCATAGACATCAACCACGACAATGCCGCCTCCCATCTTGAGACATGTGTTCTAAGTCTCAGTTTTTACAGTACAATGACTGCCCCATCGTTCAAATTGAAACGAATTAATCCTTCACGGCAGAAATAGGCAGAAATAGATGGCGGTACCCACCAGTGCGGGCTCACAAGACGCTCTACCGTCGGTACTTAAGCCAACTATAATTATTGCGGGTTTGATTTTAATTACACGATGTTACTCCTTAATCGTGGAAGGCATTCGTGAACATTTGTTATGTAGGTACGGATTTCATTAGAAAAATTGGTAGCTGCCAGCGGGATACGAATACCGCCACAGTCGCATCACTCGATACGAATGCACCGGGCGTATTATCCTTTAGTCCACGATGACTTCAAAGGTCAAGTTCGCTTTGTTCTCAATTCAACACGACTATCAACTTCGCCGCGTCAGTAAGAGTCTGGTGATCTCCTTCTAACCCAAGAATGTAGACAGCTAAAACACAAAAATATTATTGAATACCATTAAGTCTGTAAATTTAAACTAATTTGATTAAGACTGGCTGCCTGGAAGAAGTTTTCCAATAACAATAAAGTAAGTATTATTTAATTGACACATCTTGAAGTTCTGTTTGACTTCTGAGTACTTCAATTACTGTTTAATGTTAGGGAAGCGTTATTTTAACATGGAAATATTGTTTCGTCAATGATAATATAAGTAATATCTTCAGGATGTCTGATATGATAATAAATGGTAAGTTTTCGCTATCACAAAACTAAAACCCTTAATCATCTGGTACTAAATGTATACTAGGAGAATTGCATGTCTGAATTAAAAATATCGTGACCTTCACAAAATTATTTGAAGAAGCAGATTTTATGAATTTCCAAGAAATCTTATTTCATTTCATTATTTTTTTTAGATTCTGTACCAGTCGACAAAAAGTGGAGTGAATTAATTCGATACAATATATTTATCATGAAACTAGTAGAATTCGTAAGTAAATAATATCAATGTTAATAATACTTGGTAAACTTATCATTTTCATTTTCTCTGATATACGTATCCGTTCGTTGTAGGGTATATCTCTAATCATCACTATATTACCGCTGGCCATTCCAAAACCACAAGGACACATGTACTGTATTTCAAGTGGTCCAACATTAGTGATCTCATTTCTTTTTATCATACTTTATTTTAGAAGAAGAGTGCCACTTTTTATGGAAAAAATGTATTTGTTCTTTCAAATATTATTTACTTTTGGTGCTTTTATTCAATGTTTCCTTTTAAATCTCGTTCGTGTTTGGTTGTGGTTAATTTATGGAGTGTTTTACTTTGCTTTATTAGCAGCGTTATCTATAGATTTGTTTCTTATTGCAAACGAAAGAGGGTGTACGTTTAGTTGCGCGTAATTATTAGTTCTCATTTTCTTGTATTCATACAACTTTTGTGTAAAATAAACAATAAAATAAAAGTGTGAAAGAAAGAAAACCCTTTTTACTGATATCCAAATTATTGATGCTTGACTAAAATTGTTTCTGGTGAACAGCCCCATATTTTGTGATCCTGAATATAGATAGATAAATACTTAGGCTACATATCATTTGTTTAAGACTGTGAAGTAGTGATCACAATTCCACAGTGCAAGCAAAGGCCTGGACTACCAAAACTAAATATCTGTAAATCAGTTATCCACATAGAAAAAGGCTTGTGGTCTACAAAGTTTGGCTTGTGCTCACTTTTCGGCACCGAATGCTGTGACATGTGGTAGGTATGTACTTGCCAAACATTCATGAAGCATTGATTCACCAAAATAAAGCGAGATGCTAAATGACATGTTATACACGATGTATTTATATGTCACTATGAAAATTTACAATTGTGGGATTATGAAACTATATTTATGGAATTTGTTTCTCGGCTTCTTCCATTGTTATTAGCGTCGTCGAATTTCTTTTAATTCAGTTCCATTTCACTTTCCCCCTTAGAGACATGGTCACTAAAGATTTGTCTCTATGAACTAAGTTCCCTATAACTGTCCAATTTAATAAATGAACCAAATGAATGATAGTGCTGTGGGAGATTAAAATTGACAACTCGTTTGTGTTTATAGTTATATTAAAAATTATAGTTATAGTAAAAAAGTACGTTAATACTGCTTATTCTACATAAAACCCCTAAAAACGAAGATACGCCAATATTTAAAATTTCATCTATTTTTATGCGCCATATTCTTAACAATTCAATTCAATAAGCTATAGGCTGGTAATTTCATTAAACTTCAAAAAGTACACGATTAACGTGTCGTTTTAGGTTCATAGTTGTGGGTATTTGTATATTCGTTACAACTTTCGAATGCAAATCATTTCAACTAAGGTGATGACCTCTGAAAAAACACGTTAGTTTTAGTCCATACAATATTACAAGGACTAATTTATGCGTTTACTATTTTACACGACGTCCTAACATTTGAGTCGTCTATTATCAAAGGTGGCAATCTGTGCATTTGGACAAAAAAAATTTATTGATATGTCAATACAAATTGATTTGAATATAATCGTCTCCTTCAAAGAATACAGTTCAAAACCTGCATTAAATAAAGGTTAATAGTTAACCTGTTATTTACCTAAGATGTCGTTCAGAAGAGTTTTGTGACTGCCAATGGAATACAAAGTCAATAATCCGTTTTTCTGATTTACCAATCATTGTCCAAAAGTCACATTGCCGGCTTTGATAATAGTCGACTCATTTAACGTTATAATGAAGATACATATTACCAACAAGCAATCATAGACGCTTTTTTTTTTAAATAAGATTTTATACGTTTAATTAAACACTCATCTCTAAATTTTTGTAAACTATGTCATAACTAATGTTTCTAAACAGTAATGCAAAGTGCAAAGGGATACCTACAACCATAGATTATACACTTAATATATTTGAGACCTACAACCACAAGTAAAATTAGGGATACAACTTAAAGTTAACTCTCAAAAGAATAATCAAAGTAAAAAAAGCGTATAATATATATTATTCAAATCTACTGTCTCCACAAACATATTATGAAGTATGTATTGTGTTCTCAGTTTTCGTCAACATTCCTTGAATAACTTGTTATTGTTGTTAAACAAAAATATTTAAAAGTAATTGGCAATTATTTGACTATGTATATATAATATAATTTCACATGTAATAAATGCCTAACGTCTCCCTCGTATTAGGTTCATTTAATTTAAAAGCTGATTGGAAAATGACTTCATTTGACCCAGGTAAGATATTTGGCTAGTTTTTTACAAATAAAAAATCCGTGATTGTTACTTTTAGGTAATGTCAATGATCCTAATGATTTTACCGTTTATATTATCTGATGCCGGGATAATGCATTGCCTGGCGGTTGCGCCCACACTTATAATGTCTCTCATGTTCATCATATTGTATCTGGTGGATCAAGTTCATGACATGGCTGAGCAGCTGTACTTAGCTATACAAATAACACTCAATACCATAGCTTTAATAGCTGTTTTTCTAAGAAAGTATCCAGCGAGTGCATTATATGGACTGTTTTATTGCCATCTGTTAATAGCGCTTTGTATAGATCAATACTATGTGTTTAAAGAACGAGGTTGTACATTATTTAAAGATTAATTTAAATAAACTGCATGTAAAATGTTTTCTACTTTTATTATTAACAAACTACGAAATAAAAATGTTATTTAATGTTTTTCAATTCTGAAATCTTAACAAACAGTCCGTATTACTTTTAGGTAGTGGCAATGCTCCTCAACATAGTTCCGCATATAGTGGAACCGGTGGACGTGTTAGCTTGCCTCGTCTCTGGTCCCACACTAATGCTTTCGGCCCTTATTATGGTTCTATACATTGTTGATCAAGTACAATACGAAGCAGAATTGTATTATGCCATCATTGAAATTACATTGACAGCTTTGGCTCTCATTAACTTGTTTATTGTTGGGAAATTGAGAGGAGCTATTTATGGATTGTTCTATATTGATTTAATAATCGCTTTCGGTATGGACATATATTACATGCACAAAGAAAGGGGCTGGACTTTTTGAAAACACACTTGTGCAATTGATTTAAAATCATTGTGTGATTATAACAGGAAAACTCATATAGTGACTGTTTAGAGTATGTAATGAATTTCCTGTTATATATTGTGCAGCATTGAATGTTTGCAGTGATAATGTGACAAGTGAAAGATTAAATAGGAAGTTGAAATCAACAATGTTTTATGTAATGACAGTTATGTTTTGTGGCTGTAAAAAACTGCTGAAAATAACTTTGTGGAATTTATTCTGGATAGTTTCGTTTTTAACATTGGCAACTATATATTGGAATTATAATGAAAATTACAGTGAAGTGGTAAATGCATCGGAAAACCCGTTGATAATTTGGTGGACGGATGGTTTCCCGGGATCGGCAGAGACTAAATATTGTTCAAATAATATAAAATGTGATGTTTTTACAATAGGAAATCAAACTAAGTTGCATAATGTTGCAGCGTACCTATTTTATGGCAGCAGTATTAACTTTGACAATCTTCCATTACCTAGAAGACCCAAAGATCTAATTTGGGGATTATACCATGAAGAGTCTCCAAGAAATACAGAAGAACTTTTAAGTGAGAATGTACTGCAACTTTTCAATTTTTCTGCAACATACAGCAGATACAGTGATGTTCATTTTCCTTTGCAATATCTGAATTCTTTTGAAGATATTACTGACACGACTTATTTTGTGAAAACCAAAGATAAAGATGAACTTTTGAATGAAATTGCCCCCATTATGTATTTGCAGAGTGACTGCGAAACATCCACAGAAAGAGATTTATATGTACAAGAATTGATGAAGTTTATAAAGATTGATTCTTATGGGGCTTGTTTAAATAATAAACATTTACCTTCGAAATTCAAACGAGATTATTTAAATAATTTAAATGAGGAGTTGTTTTTAAAATTCATTGCCAGATATAAATTTGTGATCTCAATAGAAAATGGGGTTTGCGAGGATTATATTACAGAAAAATTTTGGAGGGCTATTAAAGTTGGAAGTGTTCCCATTTATTTTGGATCTCCTTCTATTCGCGACTGGCTTCCGAATAACAAGTCTGCTGTGTTGCTAGAAGATTATCCGTCTCCGAAATTAATGTCAGAACATTTATACAAACTTTTAAAGAATAACAACCTGTATGAAGAATATTTAGAACATAAAATAATGCAAAAAATTTCTAATAGGAAGCTTGTTGAAGAATTCCGTTCGAATCCAACTCAAATAGATACTTTAAAAACGACTAACAAATTTGAATGTTTAATTTGTGAGAACATTCATGATAAAATAAACGGGAAATCTGCTGTTAATGTTGTCACCAAAAAGCATTACAACTGCCCTAAGCCCATCTCTGCGTTGACTTTGAAGGTAAATCCAAACAATAATTGGGTATTTTCTCGAGATTTTGCCATTGAAAAAGCAAATAATATATATAACAAAATAATGAATGAACATTAATTTTTATTAAATATTTATTTTTTTATCAAATATATATATTTTTATACAATGACCGTTCGTTTGTTATTGACAAATTCCGTCTAGAGGTGAGATCGGATGAATTTCATAGCCTAAACCCCTTTTGATGACGTGAGGAATTTTCTTCGGGACCATTCTGGAAAGAAAAAAGAGTTTGTGATATATTAATTAAAAATAAAATAATATTTTTAACAATTAGGTGTTTTAGATACAATCAACTTACGATATACAGTCGATAATTGGGCACACAGACAAACATAGAGTACAACCAGTGCAATCATCGGTCACGTGTGGAAGATGAGTGTCAGAATCGAATCTGTAAGAACATAATATATTAAAACGTTGACTGCCGTGTATCTTCTTCGATCTTCTAAGGCGCCGGAATATCTAATAGACTCCGGGAAAGACGAATCCGCAGATACTGAGAATGAATATATTTCTAAAATGCCGAAAAAAGCTAAAACATACATTGGAAAACAAATGAAGACAAAGTCAGGCAATCCAGGCGCTTAGTGATTCATTTATAATACAGATAGTACGCTCATATAAATTTAAAAGCTCTAAGCCCACCTGGTGTTAAGTAGATACCAGAGCCCATAGATATCGTCACTAAGTGAATGGGCCCTGTCCAACTTGAGACATGAGTTCTAAGCCTCAATTGTATAATACAACGACAATCACACCCTTCAAACTGAAACGTATAGTAATAGCAGTAGCTTCACCGCAGAAATAGTCAGAGAAGTGGTACTTACCCTAGCGGACACACAAGATGCCCTACCGCTTATAAAAGGATCGGGCAATCGATTGACCAGCTTCTGAAATTTGAAATATCAATGTACTTAGAGCGGAACTTACTCTATCGCTTGGTACCCAGAGTCTGCACACGCCATGTAGCATTTTCCGCAATTGATACACATATCCTGGAATTGTTGAAAATAAATAAGTAAACCTAAATTAATCATTAGAACACCTACTTGAAGCATTGAGCACGCAATGGAAATATATTGATATTTTGACGGTCTTAGACTGTTTCGATCACGAATTAGTCGGTACCACTTACATCATTTTGCCTTTACTCAAAGACATCATCTACTATTGAAGACTCCTCCATTCTTGTTTAATAGAAGATTAATTTTAAGAAGGACCGCGTTCAGGATAGAACCCTTCGTTTTAGCCAGATAGTACGTCGCACAAAAGATCTCTAGTACTGCATAGGTACCTTGAAAAGTAAAGTACAAAACACAAATAGAATCGAAGTCGCTCAGTAGACCCAGGTGTTTCAAACGATCGATTTGTGTTTCGGCTTAAAGAGGAATGACTATAGCCGTTACTCCATAATAATCGGAATCTCGACCTTGAATCTCAAGGTTGATCGAGAATATCAATTTGGTTCTGGCATAACAAGAGTCGCGAAATGATTTGCCAATTTTCGCTGGAAAAAATTGCACTTTTGCCACCAATACCATCAACGCGGAAATGGCTGTAAAAAACCGCTTCCACCATTGACTGGCCAATGGAAAAGGTAAGTAACATTTTATAGGATGTAAGTGTACATTGTAAATAAAACTTATTGCTATCAAGCGTAAAACTTTTCATTGTAGTTTTTATCTTCGTGAACCATTACTACATACATAGGAAAAACTGCTATCGGTAGGCAAACGACCTCTGCTTCCACACTAGACAGGACGTGGCTACCTCTCGTATTAAATATAATTAATTACATTTCATGCCAAAAACGATTAGTAATAAAAAAAAATATTCTAGAGTGTATGTAAGCAGCAGCCGTTTCCGTTTTAAGGCTTGTTTCGATTAGGTATTTAAAGGCTGCGAAATTCCAGATATATCTCAATTAAACCAGACCTAGCAGACGACTTCTAAAATATGAATAAAACAAAAACTCACATCATCAATGAGCGCGACGACTTGGAGTTTATTATCCAAGTGCTTGTACGCCCCCACTTTAGGCAGAGCTTGACCCAATACGTCGCTGATTCTTGGTACTGCGCTAAGGCCATTTGTAGAGCCATTGGTCGAACGATTGTCAACAACACAGTCGTCGTCCAGTAAACCTAATTTTAATCTATTTTGATGGAGAATCTGTTCGCGTTTTTTGTTGTAAATACCGAAGTGTGTCAGTACCTAAAAACCAAAAGCGGTTATATTAAAAACATAACTCACCTTCACAAATGCAATGCGTAATATTATGCGTATTTTGCACGGTTGTCGGGTCGTAGGTGCAATTATTTTTGCAATTTAGCAGCGTGGGTAGGCCTTTTACGAGATCGGTCGATGACCTATTAAAAGTCGCGGGAATCCACTGGAGGCGGACTGTACAACTACGACGTGGCGAACCTTGGGGAAGGCCTATGTCCACCAGAGAACATATTGTGTGAGCTGATACAGTCCAGTATAGTACAGGCGCAATTAAAACTACTTTTACGTATATGTGTATTTTTTTTATTGCTTAGATGTGTGGACGAGCTCTCAGACCCCCTGGTGTTAAGTGGTTACTGGAGCTCATAGACATCTACAACGTAAATGCGCCACCCACCTCGCAGATATAAGTTCTAAGGTCTCAGTATAGTTATAACGGCTGCCCCACCCCTCAAACCGAAACACATTAGGCAGGGTGGTGGTACCTACCCGTGCGGCCTCACAAGAGGTCCTACCACCAGTAATTACGCAAATTATAATATTGCTGGTTTGATTTTTATTACACGATGTTATTAATCCTTCACCGTGGAAGTCAATCGTGAACATTTGTTAATTACTTATTTCATTAGAAAAAAATGGTACCTGCCTGCGGAATTCGAACACTGGTGCATCGCTATATACGAATGCACCGGACGTCTTAACCTTTAGGCCACGACGACTTCGTGTATGGGCGTGTATGGGCTTCAACAATCATTTAACAATCGGTGCGCCGTGAGCTTGTTGCTCTGTATGTGCAATAAATACGGAAACTGAAAATTTTAAGTAGGTACCTTTCCATTTTCGTCACGAATTGTTTGTACGGGTTTTCCTTTCTGGTGCTTAAAAGTAGGTGGCGATTGTCCCGTCCATCCGTCTAGGCCACGAGAACGTAGATACAAAAGAGCTTTAAGTCCTGTTATGTAATCTTCGACCACTGTGAAATCTTGATTTTGCACTGCACTGCAAATCTACAAAGAAATCAAATGCGTACACTGAAATTGACTTTTTATAATAGAGCATGTTTTATGAAAAGATTTCATGAAGAAGAAAGTGACTTAAAATGTGACTTGAAATACGGACAAGAAATGGCAACACGAATTATGTAGGTATTGCCAAACTAAAAAAGCTACTTATGCATTTAACAAAACTAGTGGTGCCCCGGTAGTCGAAATTAGACTTATTTAATTGAAATTAATATATTCTTCTAAAATCACAGATTTCAGCAAGACTTCACTTTCTATATAAAAATTATAAATTTCTTTATAGACAAATAGTATGCATGCGTGTGTGTGACAAATACATGGTAGTGTGAGTAATGTTTTTTATTGATTTAATATATGTATTTTTTGTACATAATTTTAAAAAAAACAACATTCTGCACGCCTTCTCTATATTCTCTACAAGTGTGAGAAATTTCATACTCCGTCCGCACGATTTTCGTAAACAGGGGTACCTACTAAGTTTTTCCTTCACGTATTAATATATAGATAATAATATATAGATGAACGTTAACGTAAATATGTTGTACCTGTACGACCGGTGCACCACACAAGATGAACTGTAGTGCCGAATCAGCAGAGTCGATACCTCCGATGCCCAGTATTGGGAATCCCGGTAATTTATTTCCGACCGCAGAGACTGCCCGCAATCCGATTGGACGAGTCGCGTTCCCCGATACGCCGCCGTAAGTTGTGCGTTTTTGTTTACCTAAAAATTTTGGGAATATGAATCTTTTGTTGGTCACATGGGCTTTGATGAATACTGGTATTGCCATGAATTGTCGCTGTATGGCGCCTTAATGTAATTGTAGTAATTCCCGAGACACTACATAAAGTCTATCCAATTTTGGTAGCCGTGCGAAATTTGTGTAATTTCTTTTCTTGTTATCACTTAAATATGGAGGTTAGAGGTTAGGAGCACCATCGTGTATAGGGGACAAGTTGAAAAAGTGTTCACCTGTAAACAGCAAATTACTGTTGGAAAAGTCACCGAAATAGCGCCAGTGTAAGAAGTGGAAATGATATGAATACAGCAGTGATCGTTTATGGCGCTGCTTTTTAAATCTTTCCACCTTTTTTTATTGCCCTTGTAGACAAACGAGCATATCTGATGGTGAGCGGTTACCGTCGCTCATGGACGTCAGCAATGCCAGGGGCAGAGCTAAGCCGTTGCCTACCGTTTACTACCGTGCCTACTCTCCACAAGCCTCGTTTGAAGAAAGACACGGCACAATGGCTCGGGAAACATCGTGGATCCCCTCCCTGGATAGCCGGATGTGGATGAACGCAGTGGTTCTATATAATGTAGTATAGATGAACTCTACTCCGGTCGCGGGCGGTGCGATGGTAAAAAAGGAGATGATGAAATCATCTCAAACAATTTCTCAGAGATTTCCTCAGAGCTCTCGCCACGGAACATACGGTGCAAAATACAGAGAGAACCGAAATTCCTCCGCGGTTTCAGAGGTTCCAAACGATCCACGAATATCCACGTGCTACTATGGCGCTACCTTAGTTGACTCTACCCTCCATACATTAACTTGAAAGAATACCATATTTTGAAATAATCATCGTGATTCAGACTGCTTTGTTAATGGTGGTAGGACCTCTTGTGAGTCCGCGCGGGTAGGTACCACCACCCCGCCCATTTCTGCCGTGAAGTAGTAATTCGTTTCGGTTTGATGGGGTGGGGCAGCCGTTGTAAATATACTGAGACCTTAGAACTTATATCTCAAGGTGGGTGGCGCACCAGGTGGGCTGTGAGGTCGTCCACCCATTTAAGCAATAAATTTTTTTATAAAAAAACTAGAAGCTATAAACTAAATTAAAATTTATTGACAAGTTCACTTTGTAATGGAAACAATACAAGCCGTTACAAACGTACCGACGGCAGGCCAAGGTGTTGCGTCCGCTTTAACCGACATTAATCCAGATACTGTGTTTATGGCAGAAACACCGTTCGCACCACCTGAAAATTACCAACCACACACAAATTTTGACTCATAAATAAAGCTCTAACGATGTACTACAAGGCGCAAAGAATATTTTGTGGGCTAGCTGTTCTTCCCGAGACAGAACACAGTCGTTCCACTAAGTCGAACATTAATATTACTAGTAGGTGAAAATTTTATATTGCCTCTTATAAGACTATGGTATACTGGGATGGTATGGACATGTGATGGGACGAAATCAAAATGAGGCTGGTATGAGAGTGTTAACTATGAATGTGTAAGGATATAGAGGAAGAGGGAGATCTAAGAAGAAATGGATGGATTGCGTGAAAGACCATATGTGTAAGAAATGGTACATGATAGAGGAGTATGGAAGGAGAAAACATGCTGCGCCGACCCCAGGTGACTGGGAGAAGGACAGGAGAATGATGATTAGAATACGGTATACACTTAACAGCATATAAGGCCGCGAATTCAAACGCCAGTTTACATTCATAATACATTTACAATGATTTCAAAATTCTTACTTAATACTAAAATAAAAAGAATACAATTCATATTTCTACATTTTAGTTTTGTTAATGTAAAAATTGCATAATGTACCTTCATAAGCAGCCACAGCGATACTGACAATGTCCGTAATATTTGGTGTTAATTTCACAAAGAACGGAATCTTGATGGCTTTCCGTACCCACTGAGAAATCCCTTTCACTAACACCGGATCCTGAGAATTTTTCAAATTAATCTTTTAATATCCAATAAATAGAAATAAATATAAAATAGTTTACATTATACATACATTCATACAATTTAGTAGTTTAGTAGTAACAATTTAGTTTACAATTACCTATAGAGTTAGGCGTCCATTATATTTCAAAATAATTGCTATTTAAGCTTTACAGCTTTATTACCGGTTCCGAAACATTTCAAATACCTATACCATTTCAACATATTTGAAACACTATTCATTTACATTAGTCCTAAAATTAACTCGATTTAATAAATACGTGCTTCGTGAACCCGTAATGAATGTGAAAATAGCTGGCGGACATTATCCGTGTGCTTAGTGCGAGTTTCTTAACATTCTCGATAGCGTAAAAGTTAACCCAATTTTGTATGCAATTGGAACAGCGCCCCTAGCGGCAAACGTACGCAAACGATCCCATTTCATACAAATATGAGCTAACTTTTACGCTATCGAGAACGTTAAAAAACTCGCCCTAAGCACACCGGTGTCACGCGAGAACGTTTGCCTTATATTTACTGTACATTGCGTGTAATTTTGTACACCAGCACTATAAGATCGACAATCTGTCGTTGTTTTATAGACGAATATCGTCACACTCACCTGTCCACAGGCAAGTCCCATGCCAGATTCTCCCATTCCGTGTGGGCAAGATAGATTGAGTTCCAAAGCGTCGGAGCCCGCGGCCTCTGCTTTCCGTGCTAATTCCGTCCAATCATCTTCATTGTACGAACACATTATCGACGCTATCACTACCTATCGGATTACATGAAGCAATATTATTACAATCACACGCTCAAAACAGCGATGAAAGCTAAAATAAAAAATTCAACGCACGTACACTCCTAATATTTGAATTTCATTGCTGTAAAAGGACAGCCGATCCCACCCGGTAGTAAGTGATTAACAGGATCCATATACAAAAAACACCTGACCCTATTCTATCCCAACAGATCCCCACAGACGTCCACAGCTGGACATAGGCCTCCCCCAAGCCTCGCCACAACGACCGGTCCTACACTATCTCCATCCAGCGAATTCCCGAGAACCTAAATAGATCGTCGATCCACCTCCTATAGTCGCCGTTATAAAAATGTTGCCGAAAAAACAGTTGTTCCACACTTCGGAGTGTTCACAATTCGCTCTGCTACTAATATTTCATTTATTCTATTAAGTAGATATGAGATCGAAGTTTCGATTGTATTTTAAAGTGTCTGTCTCGGCAGAAATAGACAAGATAGACAGATGTTTACTCATGCGGGCTTGCACCGCGATTCCCCGTAAATCTAATGTTAGCTTTTTATTTATTGCTTAGATGAGTAGACGAGCTTAGCCCCCTGGTGTTAAGTGGTTACTGGAGCCCATAGACAACGTAAAAGCGCGTCCCACCTTGAGATATAAGTTCTAAGGTCTCAGTAACGGTTGCCCCGCTCTTCAAACCGAAACACATTACTGCTTCACGGCAGAAATAGGCAGGATGATGGTACCTACCCGTGCGGACTCATAAGACGTCCTACCACCAGTAATTACACAAAAAACTTCAGAGGTGTCGAGGGACACCCGGATGGAACGAAGTTCCTTTCGATTAATTAGTGAAGGAATTGTATTTTTTTTTTAAGTTATAATAATAAATTACGGCATTATGAAGAAGAAAAAAACAATACTATGAACTAAATTACTATTGTTGAAACGCTATCTCGAGAAACTGTAGGTACTCATTACGCGGACCAATCGGATACGAGCAATGTCACGCGATAAGCGCCTACACGTTGATTGGTCAGAATGACGGATCTAAAAAGTGTCGTGACAACTTTTCGTAAGAATTTTTTCCGTCTAGCCCCCTTTCACAACGCGCGATAAGGAACTTCGTTCCAATTATAATTTTGCGGGTTTGATTTTTATTACACGATGTTATTCCTTCACCGTGGAAGTCAATCGTTTACCTTTGTTAAGTACGTACCTATTTCATTAAAAAGATTGGCTATTAATAATAGTCGAGTTTATTCAGCAATAAGAAAACTTACTTTATTAGGGAAATCTTTCTTCAATTCTTTGATGCTCTGGCACCAATACGCTTCACATTTCTCGGATATAAGTTCAATGTTCAGGAATGATCCTTGACCTGGACCGTAGTTCTCGCCGGAGGTGACGCCGCGGACGATCCGAGGTGAGACATTCGTTACTATATCCTAGAAGTGAAATCCATACCGACATTATAAATGCGAAAGTATCTCATCGTGATACATAGGTATTCTGATAACATAATCCATATATAAATATTTCGTACCCCCTTTTACGAAAAGTGCGCGGACAGAGGAGTATGAACTATCCACACTTATAGCTTATATAGAGAAGGAGGATACTTTAAATCAAAAAAAAAAGATTTCACACTACCACCTATTTGATACACATACCTACGCTTAAACACTCTTTTGTTTAATGTTAAAGTCAAATTGAGAATAGATTAATATTGTTTATCTATATATGTATATAAAAATGAATTGCTGTTCGTTAGTCTCGCTAAAGCTCGAGAACGGCTGGACCGATTTGGCTAATTTTGGTCTTGAATTATTTGTGGAAGTCCAGAGAAGGTTTAAATAAATATGAAAATGCTCAGAATTAAATAAAAATAACAATTTTATTTTTTCTTCGATGTGTCCCCCGTCGGACGGATTCCTTTTGTTTGTTTTAAGTTTATTTTATACAAAAGTTTAGGTCTTTTATTTATCTATTGAGGCACTACGAAGTCTGCCGGGTCGACTAGTCTTTAATATTATTTATCTATAGTGTAGCCAATAGTTGACAATAAACTCTTAATAATGTTCAAACTTATAATTTCAATTAATTATAGTCGAATTCCGAATAGCAGCGACCATTACTTACAATTATTGATTGTAATTACGTAATTGATATAATTAATTATTGTAATTACTTTAAAGGTCTATGGATGTTATCAAATAAGTAAATTACTTTTTTGTAAAACATAAAAAAAATAAGACATAATTTTTCAAGTACAAATAGTTTTGACACAAAGTTGGCCCAATTTTGGGCATTGTCTTTTCTTTCACGAAGTCTAAATTTTTGATACCGATAAACTTTGCGCGTAGCAGCCTGTCTTCAACAATTGCTTTTGTTCGCTAACTCAACATTATGTATACATCTAATAAAAGCACTAGCCCTAACAAAAGTACTCTGTAAAGGTCACGACCCTCAACACTGAGGAACACGATGCAAGGAGAAAAAAAGCACTGCATTCCATAATTGACGGGTATTTTTTATTTATTGCCTTTCTAGGCTGACGAGCGTACGGCCCACGTGATGGTGAGCGATTACCGTCGCCCATGGACGTCAGCAATTCCAGGCGCAGAGCCAAGCTACGGCCTACCGGCAATTTTTTTTAAGAATGGAATATTTCGTACCTTGTTTAGTCCAAAGGTCTTAGTCACCGCAAACCCCCATCCCTGTTGGAAAGCTCTGCGTATCATTGCCGAGCTGGTGGTGGGGGGAGCGCTGGCCAGGCCGAACGGGTTCTCGAACTTGATCCCGCACACTTCGACTGAAAGGTCCACGTCGTCAATGGGACAGTGGAATTTTGGGAGTTCTACAGGCGAGTCGAACGGAAGGCCCTGGAAAAATGAGTTGAAGCTTAAAGTTTACCCTAGGAATATTTTTTTGGTGGCTCGAAGTCCCTTCCAGTTTCACCAGGACAGGTGGGCGAGCAAAGGCTGAGACAGGAGGGGTGGGATTTGCTAACAGCTGCTCGAGCGCCTCCGAAGGAGACCTAACAACTCAAGAGCAATTGCTTCGCGAATGAATCTACTACCGGATCGGAATCGCGACCCGTTGAGAAGATCCAGCGAGAAACGGCGGGCTGATGCATGGGTTAGGTTGCACGTCGACCTATTTGTCGAGTTCGACGAGTCCGGTTACCGGGGGCTTGGTCATGTAAAGTGAGATTGTAGTTAGCGGATATTAGTTGACTAACTTCAAGGGAAATCATATTGTTCTATCTATTGACTTAAGACACCACGCCGTGAATATCTATTCCGTCAAAATTTTATTTTTATACCTACTATAGTATAACCTACACTATAAAGTGTAGGAGCGAATCCGAGATTTTATACACGTATTTAAATGAACCAAAACTAAACGTTCCTCCTCCGTTAATAACGATCCTCAATGATCATGGCTGTCTCTATGCTTGACTCGTCGCTTTACAATGATGCATCATCGTACATTAAATAAAATAATAGGGAATGGAGTTGGCGATTATCGGGCACGAACGTAAAAATAAGGTCTCAGTATAGTTACAATGGCTGCCCCACCCTTCAAACCGAAACGCATTACTGCTTCACGGCAGAAATAGGCGGGGCGGTGGTACCTACCCGTGCGGACTCACAAGAGGTCCTACCACCAGTATTTACCCAAATTATAAGTTTGCGGGTTTAATTTTTATTACACGATGTTATTCCTTTACAGTGAAAGTCAATCGTGGACATTTGTTAAGTAAGTCATTAGAAAAATTGGTACCCGCCTGCGGGATTCGAACATCGTTGCATCGCTAGATACGAATATACCGGACGTCTTATCTTCTAGGCCACGACGACTTTAATATTAATATACATACAATCTAAATTAGAATAAACAGTACAGTAAATAGAACTGACCTGCAAGTAGCAGTGCATGTACCAAGCCGCCATTTTGCCATCGTTGACAGATTCAACAGTTGTCTCGGCCACTCCAGCTAGATCCCCGCCTATGAACACGCGGGGTTCTGAGACGCTTTGCATGCTGGAGTCTTCTACTTCTGGTAGGCCCCAACGGTTGAACTTCACATCAGACATCGCTTGTATAACTGTAACGAAAAGAATTGTTATATATCAGTATGACCTAAAATAACCTGAACGTATCTTTTTTATGGGGATCGTAATATACGACAAATAGTTATATTAGCTCAAAGGGGTTGTCGATCACCTCTATTGATAGTGTGACGTATCGTGAGCTCTGATTGGTACTACATTGGTACTACTAGGGTCATTCCTATTTCTACTGCGAATTATACTTGTTTTTTTATTGCTTAGCTGGGTGGACGAACTCAAAGCCCACCTGATGATTAGTGGGTACCGGAGCCCATAGACATCTACAAAGTAAATGCCGCCACCTACCTTGAGATATGAGTTTCTACAGTAAAACACCCTTCAAACCGGGACGCATTACTGCTTCACGACAGATATAGGCAGGGTGGTGGTACCTACCTACCCGTGCAGACTCACAAGACGTCCTACCATTTAAAGGTTAGGTTAGCAGGGACAATTTTATTCTGAATAATATTGCAATCGAGCTCCTCTCTTTAATTTTGATATGGGGGTAACAGGAATGGTGATTGTTTGAATTAAATATTAATCATATTATAAAAAGAACGTTTGTTTGCCTTATATCATTTCTTTTCTGAAATTAATACACTGGTTTGGTGGAATACCACAAGTTGATGTTTTTAATTCTTTTTATTTTTTCTTGATATCTTCTATTTATGTTTAGGATAAGAGATAGCTGAGTGAGGCATTTGAGAACAACGTCAGTACCGGCGACTCCTTTTGAGAATGTTATAGTTATTTCTTACCGTTTTAAGTTTGGTTCTAACAGCAACGAGTTGACTAAATAAAAACGAGCTTTACCATCATTATCATAAAGACCAGAACCGAATGCCGAAATGATGAAATTTGCTTTTAATTGCATGATTTGATCGTGATCTTCGATCCATTCGCCGTCTTCTAATTGTTCCGTGCGGCACATCTTTAAACCAATTATCTGTAAAGGTGAGTTTATTTTCAATAGTGATCTACTTTCAACCATAATCACCCGAGACTTAGATTCGTTTTGTTTATTACAATTTCTCCTTGATTTCGTTATTAACATTTTAAATATGTAGAAAAAACTATTTCCTAAAAATTTCTTCGATCCTTTTTTTGACGATTAAAAACCCGACGATGCTCCTCAGACGATTCTTACTTAAAGAATTTTTATTTGCAGCGTCGACAAAAAATTTTTTTTTTAATAAAAAATTCCGGTACATTTCTTAAAAATCATTTTAAAACCAACCTTTCCGTCTTTGACAATTACTTCTTGCGGAGACATGAATGGTACGAATTCACATTTTTCGTCTTTAGCCAAATCGACCTGAAATAAAATAAAGGTAAAATTTAAGTATGTACGTATTTGACATCTGTTTAGTATTAAAAATTATAGGAATATGTATATATATTTATGTAATTTTAATCTCGTTTTTTTTTGTTACGTAATTGCCAGTGGCCTCGAAAGGCCTCGAAAGAAAAGGTGTGTTTTATTTGATGTCAGCATTAAAAGTTCAATGTTTTTAATTGAACTTCAATTATGTTTACTCCATTGAAATAGCTGAAGAAGTTTTTTTGTTATGATATTTTTTCCAAATTTTTTATTTTAAAGCCCTTCCTGTAAAGTTGCAGCAATGTCATAAATGTCAAAAATAAAATGTCAATGTCAAAAATAGCTTTTCATCCGTCGATATGATGACAATAAAAAAACGCGAAATTGAACCTTAAAACAGTTTCAACAATAATTAAATTACAGTTTGCGCGGAAGCGCTAGTCACCGCCTGAGGTATGTGAGCGGCAGGTAGGTAGGTTTCGTGGAGTCGGAGTGGTGGAGCTCGATGGGGTTTAGTCGGTAGTCGGTTTTGCGGGGCGGGTCCTGCGTCGTAGACGCCGCGCAGCGCCTCGCGCGCCTTTCTCAAGGCGTGGTCTCCCGGTAGGAATTGGAAGAAGAGGAGGACTTTGGTCTTCCTCTTCTCCCTCTTCTTCTCTGGAGGCGCCGGAGTCCGACATAACCCGGTCTATTACCCCTCTCGACCGAATCGCGCGCTCTCCCGTCTCACCCCGCCACATACCTCAGGAGGTGACTAGCGCTTCCGCGTGCACCATAGTAAACTCACTTCTTCGGGCACAGCTCTTATATTGCTGAATCCTTTTCTAAACACGACATAGACCCTTCTAGCTCCGCAACGTAAAGCAGACGTGGCACAGTCGAACGCCGTGTCGCCAGCTCCCAGCACTACGACGCTACCGTACAGCTCTGGTAGTGGTGGCTTACAGGCACACATTCCTGTTGGAAATGAAGAGTATGTGAATCTAAAAAATAGTTACGAAATAAAAACTGTGAACATATATCAAGTTATTGTGGTCTTCGAGCAGCACACGAAGCAGTGCAATGGCTGCCCCACCCTTTGAACCAGAACGCATTACTGCTTCGCGACAGAATTAGACAGATTGCTGGTGCCTACCCTGGCTAGCTGGGCTAGCAAGGGATCATACCACCACCATGACTTACGTGTAATTACACTTCTAATAAACAGTAATTCGATAGGACATTTTGTTGATGCGGGAAAAGTTAGTTTTGATCCTGGTAAGACACTTTCCGTGTCCGCCCAGGTCACTGCGACTAACATAAACATAACAGCGTGATCGCGGCTTAAGGCAAGAAATCACGTTTACTAATAAAAAAGAAAATTAAAAAAGATACGCTCAATCAGTCAACCATTCAACCGCCGGCAAGCTATGTAAATATATCTACTAGATCATGAACTCGTTCGATCTACAAGAGTCTATCATTCTATCAAGAATCTATCATTCTATCTAAAATATCAGGACACGAAAAGAATCGGAAAATGTTTTTTGTACGTATTAACCTTTCTTACTGCCTCTAGATACTAGAGGTAAGAAATCCTTGCTAGTGTAGAAGCCCATTTCTTGCGTAAGGCCTTTGAATATGGGAACGCTTTTGGGCTCCGGCAATCCGATCCCGAGGAATACTGCTGCGTGGTCTTCAAGAAGATTCTATAAAATAAAACCAATAGGTACAAATAAAACAGATAAAGCAGATAATGGACACATTTACATTTTATATTTATAATCATTCAGGAGGAGTCAAACGCTTCGCAAGATCTGCGCGAATGAAGGATCGCTAGTTCATTCACTAAATACCATAGTACTTATTAACTCCATGCTAAATACATACACGTGTTGAATATGATTCGTTCGATCTATAGTTCAATTTTGAGGCGCGAAACTTCGAAACCAATGTACTTAGGGGATCAACGATTCACGGTTGATAAATTGGTAGCTAACTCACATTCAAAGTGATGTCATTAGTAGACAGCATTCTTCCAGTCTCAAACTTCACTCCGAGGTTTTTAACGAGATCAACTTCGTATTGTACCACTTCGTATGGAAGTCGGTATTGAGGGATTTCTGAAGAACTGAAAATGAATAGCGCCTGTTAAATGATCTAGGTACATAAAGTATTTTATTTTTACTAGATATGTATATCGACGCTTGAAAGGCAAACGTGACTAAGCGACAATTTTTTTTTTTTTTTTTTCGGGCCGGGGTTTGATCCTCCTACAAGGTCCCCGCGCCTAGGGGGCACGCGGGGTATGTGAGACTCAACGATCTGCAAGTGTTGAGAGCAGATCGCGGGCCCAAGGATTTTAGGGCCCACCCACTAAACGACTCCCCTGCACTCTTAAACCCGACGTCCGATCTCCGTCCGGGGTCAGAACTCGGTCAGAGNCTCCGAGGTTTTTAACGAGATCAACTTCGTATTGTACCACTTCGTATGGAAGTCGGTATTGAGGGATTTCTGAAGAACTGAAAATGAATAGCGCCTGTTAAATGATCTAGGTACATAAAGTATTTTATTTTTACTAGATATGTATATCGACGCTTGAAAGGCAAACGTGACTAAGCGACAATTTTTTTTTTTTTTTTTTTTCGGGCCGGGGTTTGATCCTCCTACAAGGTCCCCGCGCCTAGGGGGCACGCGGGGTATGTGAGACTCAACGATCTGCAAGTGTTGAGAGCAGATCGCGGGCCCAAGGATTTTAGGGCCCACCCACTAAACGACTCCCCTGCACTCTTAAACCCGACGTCCGATCTCCGTCCGGGGTCAGAACTCGGTCAGAGTAGGTCAGAGTTAAGCTGTTATTGTTACCTTAAGCCCCCGAGATACTTTTCCTTCTCGTACACCGTGATGTCCTTGTAACCCAACCTAGCCAGGAAGCAGGCACAGCTGATACTGGCCGGTCCTCCGCCAATCAAAGCGATTTTATGGTCCCCTCCTTTTGGTAGCGGTTTCGTATTGGGGTCTAAAGTTTGAGGGATGCCCATCTTCATGAATATCTGTAAATAGAACACAGCGCATGGTGTGAAATTACAAATTCTTTTTGCTATTAACACATATTAATAACTTTGTCGTCCTTGTCAACGAAAACTATGTCTATTACTACGTGTAAACCGAAGAAAATCCTATGTTAAAAAATGTTTCGCAAACAGATCGAACGAACACTTCAAAATCAAAACAGGGTGCTAGCTAACGATTTTCAATGTCGATAGCAAACTTTCATATGCTATATTGAAAGCACAAATACGTGTCGTGTAATGAATTAATCCTTCGTAACCCAGCGTTCTAAAATGAAGGTAGCTAGCCGCTACGCGAGGAATCGTATCTTGCACGTTGGCTAACTTTTAAGCTGTGTATACATTGCGTGCTGTTTGTGCGTTAAGTCGTACACTGTGTGCATTACTAATTTGTACGTTATTACAAAGTTAAGTCGTACACTGTGTGCATTACTAATAAAAATCTTACGTTACGGTCGTTTTTCCCGGTTACGGTACCCCTCCGCATCGTCCCTTAAGGAAATTCGTTCCAAAAGTCAAATTGCTTACGTCAACAGCGAAATGTTGAAGTCCTCCAATATTGATAGCTCCTTCTTCAGTGGCGTGAAGGTTGCATCCCCCGACGCATAAATCGCTGGTGGGGCAGACCATGCCGCAAGTCAAACCGAGGGGATTGTCCGATAAAATGGCCTTCGCTGCTCCATAGTAATTCTGTTTCAATTCATTCAGTATGTAACGATTTTGATGCTTGCAATTAAAAAGGTAATCCAAACGAATAAATGTTTTTTTTCCACTTTTTTTTAAGTGGTTATTGAAGGCCAAAAAATCATAACATGGATAGACTCCTAGGCTGAGACATGAGTTCGAAGTCACTACAAAAACTACCACCAAAATAGTTAAGGTCTACAAAAAAGATTTCGACGGCCAAGTAGGTACAGAACGTTCTGTTTCTTACATTATCACTTTACCTTATTGGCGATGCTAGTGATGAAGCTTTTGACATCAATCTGTGTGGGACACGACTTCTGACACGGCGCGTCAGCACACTTGAGGCATCGTGCCGCCTCCCGCAAAGCTCCACGTTCTGACAGCGTCGTGTGTTTGATATCGTCGAAATTCTTGTTCAGGGTTGGACATGTCTGTAATCAAGTTTATTCAAAATTTTAATCTAAGTATAAATTTTTTTAGTTTGTGAGAGCTCAAGGCTTATCTAGGGTGATTCGGTTTTCGGAGCTCATTTAAGCTAAAAATAATGCCGTCAATTTTAAGACCGCAAAACTTGATGTCAAAGTGTATATTGTATTGGTTAATGACAATATAACTGTAGCGGCAGTTTCAGCCTTGACGCAAAGCGATGCAATTATTACTTTGTTACGAAAATTCCTAGAACAGGCTTGTCTTGTAAGAATACATAAATGTTTACAATCACACGATCCACAACGAGTGTGTGCCCGTGTGGCGGATTGTAGGTGTATAGCCTTTGGCAGCGTGCATTACGAACAATGTTTAATCTGTGCTTGAAAGAAAAAAAAGCCCGCCAAAACTAAAATGCCAATCTTAATATTTTAATTGTTTAATTTCGTTTAAAAGATTGCTTATTCACTTTAAATAAAACTTGCATGATTATTGCATTATTTAATTGACATCGCATTCAAGTAATACGTCGAGACTCCGAAAACGAAGGAGAAAAATTAGTTTTACCCACTGGTAAATTAGTTTTATCACTATTCGTGTGTAGAAATATGACTGCTATTCAGTTGATTTTTGAGTATTATTTCTGATACAATTAAATTGATTTCTCGTTTATAAGTATGGCGTTTATTTTACCAAGGCTAATTAAGTCGTTTGCTGGTTCGTGAGTATGTAAACTAATTTATTTACGAGTGATACATAATTACTGTTCATTAATTATTTCCATTCACGTTATCTTGTAAGTGTGCAAGAAAACGTGCCTAGACTACAATAATTAGGTAAGCCGTTTGCAATATCACCAGTTAAAGCACCCATTTATTTTTCAAATAATTTGAAACGGCGATAGAGCACTCGACGTTTTGTTTTAATATGTTCTAGAAACATCGTTTACCATTATGGCGATAATATTAGGGGTTCTGGTAAGTACTGTTTTGCGTTTGAATTTGATTAATTGGTAAAACATTGTAAAATATGGAAGCCTTCTTTAGTTTTGAAGAGATTTGTTCTCAGCGATATGCAGTGGCTTAGTTGTGCTCCTAGCTGATGCCCATGAGCGACTTTGAGCATTGGAAGTCAATAACAAATAACTGTCCACACAAACGCTGTAGAATATGAGGTACGTAGGAATATGAAATACGGAACTGTTTGTGTGTGTGTTGTGCCAGGCGAGCAAAGAAGAAAATTACATATGTACTTATTTATTTGAATTAATCAGTGAAGCGTAAAAATATAAGAGATACTGGGAAGAGATCTGTCGTACGTCACAATAATTTTTAATGAAACAAAAAATTTGGTTCTACTTATCTAATCCGAAACATCATATTAAGGCAAAAGGTTAGATATTCGGCGAATAATATAATAAAATATAAAATATATTTATTAGATTGAATGTTTTATTTCGTAATTATTTCTAATGTATTAAATACGACCATATACTACATTTAAACGTTATTTTTGATTTAGAAAAAATATGAGAATAAATAATGATTGAAATTATGAATGATTGAAAAAATTATTTAATTTCACCGGTGGGTGAACAAGTTCACGGCCCTCGAATGCCGCTTTGAGACATGAGGTCGAATGACCGAATGAGGTCTTGGGGTAGCACACGAAGCAATACGAGGCCCTCCCACTCTTCAAACTGGAACGCGTCACAACTTTACGACAGAAATGTTTATTCAGTATGTTCCCATTAATTTCATGTGAAACAGTTACTTACAGTACATTTTCTATCAGCATTTCTTTTCCAATGTTGCTTAATCTTCTTAGTTTGGGCCGATGGAACCAAATTGGTGTAAGGCTTCACTGTAGGATTTAACTTCAGGAGATTCTGAAAGAAATTGTAACAAAGATGTACCGTAGTTGTGCATATAATCTTAAACTAATTAGTTAAACTGAAAATATTAGACAGCTGCTTAGCTTTGCCCCTGGCATTTCTGAAGTCCATGGGCGACGGTAACCACTCACCATCAGGTGGGCCGTGTGCTCGTCTGCCTACAAGAGCAATAAAAAAATGGCATTTCGAATTGAAAGAGTTGTTGATTTCCAATAATAATCTCATTATTTTATAGCTAATTCCTGAAATTGTTTCTGAAGTGGCCGATTGTATCATCATAATCTAATCATAGCTTTACTTATTCTTCACAAATATATTACAATTATTTCACTGGTGGTAGGACCTCGTGGGAGTCCGCACGGGTAGGTATCACCGCCCCGCCTATTTCCGCCGTGAAGCAGTAATGCGTTTCGGTTCGAAGGGTGGGGTAGCCGTTGTAACTATACTAAGACCTTAGAACTTATATCTCGAGGTGGGTGGCGCATTTACGTTGTAGATGTCTATGGGCTCCAGTAATCACTTATCACCAGGTGGGCTGTGAGCTCGTCCACACATCTAAGCAATAAAAAAAAACAATATTATAAAAAAAGAACAAATTATCAACACAAAAAATAATTTACAGATGAAATCAAGCTACAACACTACAACTTATGTAAAAGAGATAATTATTTTATTTGTAAGAAAATTGTGTGATGATGGCCACGTTTTTATTACATACTCTAGTTTACTTAGCACTGGGTCAGTGACCTTTTCAAAACTTACAGCATGCGCAATAAATATTATGGAACCGAAAATATCAACGTGTTTAAAATATTGAGTACCTACTTTTGAATTATCATTTTATGTGCTTCGCGTTATCAGCATCACCCTTATCAAAGTTTAATGCGCATTCGAGATGAATTTGACTCTTAATGACCTAACATTCAAAAAATATTTTTAATAATTTTCATTCCTTTATTAAAGATGTTTTGAATGTACGTAGATCGATAGGACCGTTATCGGTTTTATTATTTATTATTATTTAGGAATCTAGTAAAGTTTGTTCATTTTATATAACATATTTAGAATCATTCGTTAGATAAATATATTGTTACCAGCTGGGGTTTAGGTCCAATAATTTTCTTGCGCTTCGTTCATCTTGCTGTGCAAATTATTTAGAAAAACTGGAACACTATACGGGGTGTCAGGAATGCTAGTGATTGACTGTTAGAGCACTCTCGATACAACTAGAACATTGAAGAAATGTTCTAGAATATTCAAGAAATGTTGCCGTTGTTTTGATATCGATTTTTTACTATTTAACACTGGTGGTAGAGCGTCTTTTACTGATGATTCGGCGTTTTATCAGCCCGCACGGGTAGGTACTACCACCCTGCCTATTTCTGCCGTAAAGCGGTAATGCGCTTCCGTTTGAAGGTTGGGCTTGGGGCAGCCGTTGTACTGTTAAATTGAAATTTATAACTCATATTTTAAGATGGGCGACGGCTTTAACGCGGTTGATATCTTTGGGCTCTGCGTGCTTAGTGCGAGTTTCTTATCGTTCTCGATAGCGTAAAAGTTAACCCAATTTTGTATGCAGTTGGAACAGCGCCCCTAACGGCAAACGTAGGCAAACGATCCCATTCCATACAAATATGAGCTAGCTTAAAGCTTAAAAAACTCGCACTAAGCACACAGGTCCATACCATGGTGAGACGGGAGTTCGTTCCTGAGTCGAATGGTATGTGGCGATAAAATACCTTGAAACTCGCTGGACGAATGCAGTGGCTAAAAGGACTTCCTATGAGTTGAGTTATTTTTTTTAACTCCTCCTCCTTGCGTCGGTTTCCTCATTACTGAGGGTCGTGGTCATGGCCTTGAAACAGTTTGTTTTTTATAATGCACCGCCATCTGTTCCTATCGGCAAACGTACGCAAACGATCCCATTCCATACAATATGAGCTAACTTTTACGCTATCGAGAACGTTAAAAAAACTCGCACTAAGCACACTGGTGACTACTTAGTAATAAATAAATTGAAATATGACGTTATTTGTACCGACATGACACTGTTTTTATTGAAAACATATTGAAACCTTGGCTTTGTTCCTCAGTTTATGCACGGACCATTGTTTTTTTCTATAAAGTTTGTTACTTTTCTTCGTCCACACCTATTAGCTTTGGTATTGTCTTAGATATATACATTCAAATGACTCAGCTGTGTATCTGTTTTAATTATCTATTCATATTTTTATTCATGTATCTTTAAGCTAACTTTATGAACATTAGATACAAATAACGAATAAAAAACCAAAGGGCTTGATTTTTTTAGGAATGTAGTGAAATGAAATGAACTGTCTTCAATTCATATTTATTCAGTTTGCTTTGTCGTGAGCGAAATACTAACGTTTTCGGCAATAATATTAACTAATGCGGTAATTGCATTATACCTACTTTTAGTATCGATTTTCGTTATCGTCTAATTAGACCCTGTGATGACAATTAACCTCAATTCTTAAAAACGTAACACATTCATTGCTCTTCAGATTACGATAGTTATTCTGAAAGAATGTTTACTTTTTCATTAAATGCGAACCTGCGAAATACCTTTTCTTTGTTAAACACATTACTGTAAATGATTTTAAATTGAGTCTGTGATCGCGTTTTATTGCACGTCAATGCCAGAATACTTTAGATACATTTCATGACCGTCTATTCTACAATCCCTATATTGACACTAATAACATTCTCTGTCGCATTTCCGACTTTTTGAGGTCATATTATAATTCCGGTTGCTATGAATAGACACATTGCAGTAGATAATTATCAATGTTGAAAGTTTATTACCTACGTTACGATTTTAAAAACTGTCTACTGTTACACTACTCCAATATAAGAGTTTTTGGACCTTGGAAGGCAATATTTTTTTTTTTTTGCTTAGATGGTTGGACGAGCTCACGGCCCACCTGGTGTTAAGTGGTTACTGGAGCCCATAGACATCCACAACGTAAATGCGCCACCCACCTTGAGATACAAGTTCTAAGGTCTCAAGTATAGTTACAACGGCTGCCCCACCCTTCAAACCGAAACGCATTACTGCTTCACGGCAGAAATAGGCAGGGTGGTGGTACCCACCCGCGTGGACTAACAAGTCCTACCACCAGTAATTACGCAAATTATAATTTTGCGAGTTTCATTTTTATTACACGATGTTATTCCTTCACCGTGGAAGTCAATCGTGAACATTTGTTGAGTACGTATTTCATTAGAAAAATTGGTACCCGCCTGCGGGATTCGAACACCGTTGCATCGCTAGATACGAATGCACCGGACGTCTTATCTTTTAGGCCACGACGACTACAAAGACAATATAGTCTATGATGTAATACCGAAGGGAATCTTTGACGTTGTATCTCAAGATTGGTGCCAGTTTTCATGCTGTGGCACCTCAACACGAGATGTTTAGAAATTGTGTGCTGATTTTATTTATTGATTTTGGATTTTATAACTTTTATAATTGAAATATTTTTATTTATTTGCGGCGGAACGTATTTTATGCCCGCACGGCCTCGTACCAAAATTCTGTTATTCATCCACACATCCACAACGATGTGTTCCTTTTTTAAGGATATTAAAGTCGTTGGACAATACAATTGTGACTGCGGCCTCAGTGTTTTAAAGTGTGTAACGGTATGCAGGTTGAGATGTCTAAGGGCTCCAGTAAACTTTTAAAATCAAGTATGCCGCAAATTGATTCATACATGTAGGCAATAAATAAATTAAAATCTCCTCCATTCTTTCAATTTGTATTCGATACAAGGTTAATCTTAATCTACAGTTACCTATATGTATTTTAGTTGAGAAATGAAATGGTAGGTAATGGACTAATGCTGAAATAACTTTAGCAATACGTGCGAAATTTCGAAAACCATTTGTGTAAATAAAAATCAGGTCTGCCAGATCGTTTCATTAGAAAGTCAATAAAGATTTATGAAAAAAATATTACAGATATTACATAAGTACGTTTTGCGAAATATGATCATTTTTTTCATATTGCATATTGCTTATATTAATATAAAAAGTAAAGGTGACATAAGTCCATCTATTTCAGTGTTACATTATGACATACCTTTTTATATTTTTGTCAATATCATATTAGTTTTCAACGGCTTTATTGCTTTCGTAATAAGATTTCATTTTGTAAAATTAATTGGCCTGCGGCACAAAATTGCTCTGTTAAAAAGCGGCTCGTCAATCCAACAATTATTGCTGATAGTTTATGGGTAAATAATATTATCACGATTCCTTAACAACCAACGTAGGTAATAGCCAGTTCACTTATTACTAAAGTATTCTTGGCGCGAACGTTATCAATTATTATCAGTTTTCGAATAATAATAATAACAACAAAATAATAAATATACATAATAATAATAATTAATTACTCACCTCGATGTCGGGCAGCTCTTTACTTAGTAGCTTCGCCATGATGTTGGAGATGGATTTAAAAAAGTCAGTTTTGCAAACACTAATAAAATGTCTTCGTGTATAAGAATACTTATTCCGTGCAGACGCAGTGGACTGCTCACTGGCAGTGCGACACAGCGACTGATTGATGATGAAATAAAACTGAATAACGAATTGCACATGTTATCTAGAGCTTGTTTTCATAATTGTGCCGTTATTAACAATCTCTGTTACTTAGCCAGATTAAAATGATCCTTCTTGTAAAACAAATAAGTAAAGCGTGTAAGGATCATAGTAGAGCTCTTTTTAAAATGGAGATTGTAGTTTTATGCAGTTTACTGCGTGTTCTTATGAAATTTTCGCTTGTGTAATGTCACCAATAGAGTTATATGGACTGTACCGTTTAAAATTTTAAAGCCCTATTTTTATATGCGTAATACTCTGAATCTGGTAGGACCTCTTGTGAGTCCGCGCGGGTAGGTACCACCACCTTGCCTATTTCTGCCGTGAAGCAGTAAGGCGTTTCGGTTTGAAGGGTGAGGCAGCCGTTGTAACTATACTTGAGACCTTAGTACTTATATCTCAAGGTGGGTGGCGCATTTACGTCGTAGATGTCTATGGGCTCCAGTAACCACTTAACACCGGGTGGGCTGTGAGTTCGTCCAACCACCTAAGCAATAAAAATAAAAATAAAACATTGCTTGATGATATTCAGGTTTCTTTTTTAACGTCACCAGTTAAAAAAATTAGCTCAACTCATAGGAAGTCTTTTTAGCCACTGCATTTGTCCAGCGAGTTTCAAGGTATTTTATCGCCACATACCATTCGACTCAGGAACGAACTCCCGTCTCACCATGGTATGGACCTGTGTGCTTATTGCGAGTTTTTTAACGTTCTCGATAGCGTAAAAGTTAACTCATATTTGTATGGAATGGGATCGTTTGCCTACGTTTGCCGTTAGGGGCGCTGTTCCAACTGCATACAAAATTGGGTTAACTTTTACGCTATCGTGGACGTTAAAAAACTCGCACTAAGCACACTGTAGGTTTAACGACGGAAGATCTTCCACCGAGCGGGTGATATTGCTCTGTAGACCGACGGTCCAAATGTTGTTGTTCGGAACTTGTATATATGCAAGCTTATCTTAAAAATTTCGTAAGCGATATTCAGACATCTGTCAAATATCTGGCCTGACTGTGACTGACCCTGACTGAAAAATGTGACCTGCCTGCGGAATATGAGGTGTCTTGGATGTTAGTATTAACATTGTGTTGTGTATGGACAATTTATACATGATATTTGTTTGAAAAGCCTTGCTTATTTTCTTTCTTGTAAGATGGGCCCTGGCCTGATTATTAAGCAACGGCTCGATCGTTATGAATGTTTCGTATTTCTTACACCTGCTTTTCATCCGCAAACGTCGGATAGTAGTCCCTGTACATCTTGGTCCTGGTAACCAACATCTAGATTGTCCATTCTTTTATCCCGTTGGATAGTTGCACCCAACAGTCTGTACATAAATTATTTTGCCAGCGTAACATAACATTTATATAACGAATGTGAGCATATGTAACTCTATCCAGGAAAAACGTCTGAAAGTATCTTAACGAAATTTAGCACAAAGATAGTTTTTGACCTGAAGAAAATAATATGACACTTTTCTCATGGTAAATGACATGAGAGTGACTATTCACTCCGGGAAAAATCAGTTTTTTCGGTTTTTTTTTATTGCTTAGGTGGGTGGACGAGCTCACAGCCCACCTGGTGTTAGGTGGTCACCGGAGCCCATAGACATCTACAACGTAAATGCCGTCACTCATCTTGAGATCTGGGTTTTAAGATCTCAGTATAGTTACAACGGCTGCCCCACCCTTCAAACCGAAACGCATTACTGCTTCACGGCAGAAATGGGCAGGGTGGTAGTACCTACGCATGAGGACGTCCTACCGCCAGTAAATACGGTCTCATTTTTTTTTAATTACAAATTAAATACGGGTAAAACACCGAGTCTCCTGCTAGTAGTACTATGCTAGATCCATGATGACACACAGATGATCCAGATCATATAATTAAAACTATAATAAATAATCTATATTTTTTTTGTTAAAAATTAAGACAAGATTATTTTAACATAATATTATGGAAATAATTACGAAAAAAAAATGCGAGTTTAAACCGTAACTTGAGTTTTAATTACGTCAACGAGTGGCGTAAACCGTATAAAGTACTATCCACGTTTTATTTAATTATTTTTAAACTACAATATTAATTAAAAAAATGGTATATAATAAAACAAACATTTGAACAGTTAATATAAATATATTTTTGAATTATTCAGAGGCTTTACAATATTTGGAAGAATATTGACAGACAATTTTCTTTTCATTATTCGTAACACAGTTATGCAGCGTCTAATTAGTTTACTGGTTCGAATTAAAACAAACAAAAAAAAAAAAACGTTAACAGTATACAAGCGTTTTTAATGAAAGCTCTACATTTTGTTAAAACATACATACATTTTAAAAGTAATGGTTACCTTAAAATACAATTGAACAAGTAACATACCAATAACAAGTTTAAAAATAAAAGGTTTGATGTTGCCTCAGAGAGAACCGATCGATGTGAGGTTTCAAAACGATATCGGATTTTAAAAACAAAAATCGTAAAATGTAAATTACTAATACTAATAAATTGAATACGATTAAAAACTTATCATAATATGAAGCCCCCTCTCTAATTACGACTTACTTTTTTATTTATAAAAAAATGCAACACCAACTATACATGGCGCGTTCGTTACTTTATTCATCTTTTTTTTTAATTTTGTTAATTTAAATCGTTTTTGTGTTTTAATACTAATACATCGTTATTTACACGGTGATTCTTCTAAATATTTGCATCTGAACAATACATACATTAAAACCTTATAGCTACGTTTTGTGCAATTGTTCGAGCTTGTTCTTTTGGGGTGGATGATGATAAAAAACGAAATATACTTTCTTCTTGGCTCGCACCGGCATAAAGCGGTCCTTAGTGGACAAATCGCTCATGCTAACGCAGATGCCGCGCGCTGGCAACTTTTTGTAGCAATCTTCACGCTCCGTCCTACTTCCGTGATTAATACTGAGGTTGCATACATCCAACAGTGGGATCGTATGAACAATAGAGAATTATACGTCAGTAACGCTTTCAATTAGCTTCTTGTTTTATACAAAATTCCCAGCAAGTTAGAAAAGATCGAACCATCTTTGCAGTTTGTGTTGGAATCTAGTCCCAAACAAATTTACCCGAACATGTAGACCAGAGGTTCCCAAATTTATTTTGTCTACTGCCCACTTCGAGAATAAATTATTTTCTAGCGCCCCCATTTTTTCACCTACTTAAAAACCACTATAGCGAGAGCTCAGTCGCGTAGTCGGTGTCTAAGAGTCCTTCTAGATAAAAGTACAATTTGCCTTCCAAGCCTCTACACAACGCCCCTTTTTTTTGGGCCTCTTAGGGTCGCCCTTTAGGCGTGCAGTGCTCACCAGGGGGCGTTACGACCCACTTTGGGAAAGGCTGGTGTAGACGAACTAGCTCAAGGCAACACGTTCGTTCACTACAAGAATACCTTTAGGAAGACAATTATTACACAAAGCGCGTTTTTATAGGATTGCACAATACGCCACGTTTGGGTATGTAATGTGTGGAAAACTTTTATGTGTGTAGATAAAAGCGCGGGCAGCACGGAGCGTGTAGACGAGGCATTAGCTCGTAAATATGCACGCATCGATAAATTCCCAAGAGTAACTATCTGTTTTCGATCTCTAAATCTGGTACGTTTTTAAAGGAGCCTCTCCCGCAATCACACAAGCGCGGCACGCTATGGCAACAAAAGAAAAAAAAGAGAAAAAACGCGACGCTATATATTACGACAAAAGCAACAACAATTGCACACACCTTAGATACGAAAGCTTACGTTTAATCATCTTAATACAAAAAAGTTTCATGTTTTGAGGAGTCGGTTTAGGCGTTAATCAACTTAGTGCCGTTTACGAATAGCTATAGATTTATGATACGACGTCGTATGTTTTGTATTCCTTAAGTGATTCACTTTATAAAAATGCATGTGGAAATAGCGGGGGTGGGTAAACGAAAAAATAAAAGTTATATTCCAAAATAAACTTTATAAACTCATGTAAAATCATGTTTGTTTTTGGGCACAATCATTTTTATTCCCAAACAATTTGTTCCTTAAGATGGCGCTACTCATAAAAGGCGGGAAACCAAATTTAAAGACAACAGTGTGGAACTAGGCGAGTACATTTAGACGCTCAAGGACGTATAAGACGAAATAACCAAGATGTTAATCAACGCCGAGCATCGATCTCCTGTACAGAGTATTATCGACAAAAGGCACATCCCTAGTTGAGTTTCGTGCTAGATGTAACTCGTCTAGGAATGATACAATTTTCGATAATTCTTGTGTGTTGTTATGGCGACGCGGCCGTCAATTAAGGCCTAAACCTGTTTTTATCACATTTACATAGAAATGCCTCCTGACACTGAACTGACTATTCATTGATAACGAAAACGTTTTATTGCGATGGGAGGATTTAATCGATTTTTTTTTTAATTCATATCGATTCCAAGTAAACAATTGACATTCGATTTTTCAGTCGATCTTTGATGTCATCTATGCACAGTTCTATTTCATTCGATATCATTTGCTTGGCGAGTTTATTTTTGTTTCATAAATTTTGTTTACTCTCATAAAAGTAATATTATAGACGAAACAATCAAATAATGGTTACAATTTTTACCCATAGAAATCAGTTGTAAAAAATGTAAAAACGCATTGTTTTCTGGAACAAAACAGTTTTCAATAATTAGTTTAAGAATACATTTCTTTTTTGCTTTTGAATTATATTGCATAACGTATGTGCTAACATAAATGCTTCATCGCACAAATAGAGACAAAAATAAAATAATAAAATAAAATATTTTCAAAACGATTATTCGTCTCGTTATCGATCAATAGTGTACTGATTAATTGATATAAATCGATTTAAAAGTATATCGGCGACCATTCAACTAGTATACATTGAATGGTCCAATTGTGCGATTCCATTTAATTCTTTGAAGACTTATATATTGTTTGCTCGCTGAATTTTTTCATTTGTTTTTGATGATAATTTAACTATTGTAATTATAGTATGCGAAAAAAAATTTGTTAAATTAAATTATCACCAAAACAATTTTTTTTTTTCTGCTGACCATACTTATGTCCTTTTGGCCACACTTCAACAAACGATATGTATCCACAGTATCGGCCGTCCGCAAAGAGCTCACCAATTATTTATATATCAAACATTGAGGGCACGAAACACATTAACGAAGCGGTTACTACCTACTAATTAATGATTGCCTTACGAAACGAATTGATATAAACACTCATTGATAATTACAAACGTACCTACGTAACACAGAAGCGTCGCCAGCGAAGATTACACAATATCGTTTATACAACGCACTGTTATCATTTAATTACCAAAAAACACCAATGTATTAAAACATTAAATCTATTTTATGCAGCTGTGTACGTTTATATCGATGGGGTGAAAGACTATTTTGGTTTAAGCGATATTTCGCTTAATACGCCAAATTTATCTTTGTGATTAAAGGTGCATTTTATTTGGTATTTAGCATCAAAAATTTGATGTTCTCTGAATTGAACTTCAATTAAGTTTACTCCATTCTTTTTTTTTTTTTTTCTTGCCCTTGTAGGCAGACGAGCATACGGCCCACCTGATGGTGAGTGGTTACCCATGGACTTCAGCAATGCCAGGGGCAGAGCCAAGCCGCTGCCTACCGTTTAATACTCAAATCAAACCGTCAACTAGCTGACCAAGATTTTTTGTTATGATATATTTTTATGATATTTAAATGAATTTTAAACTTTAAATGACTCTCCTGTAAAGTTGCAAATATGTCACTTAAACCAAACACCTTTCACCCCTCGATAAGTATACCCCAGGCGGACAACTTGATAGAAATTCGCCACACACTCGTGTGACCACAATTTAGCGCAGGATTTCTCCGTGGTAATCTGACCAAAACGTCTACCTTTATCCTTTCGGGGTTGCCTGTTAATTATTTTTTGGTAATCAAAATCTATTCGTGTATTAATATTATTTAATTTGCAACAAAAAATTTGAAATCGAAAATACATCATTGTTACAACATTCACCTATAAACAAATACTGTACTTATAAGACACCCATTAATTACATTGACAACAACGCAGAACAAAATCATTAAATAAGCTAGCTAAATCGAAAAAATATATATATGTATAGGTATAATGTTTTTTTATATATATCACGTACACAAGTTCCGCGTGACAACCGAGGGAGGGCGCTCGCGAGAGTTTACTTCATAATGAACTTTATTTCTACAAACATAGAACATATATTTATTTATCTTTAGGTAAAATGATGAACGAATATGTCGTCGTTGCAAATTTAAAATCTCCTATGCGATATTTTGGGCCAAAACATTTTGAATACCTATACTCAGTAAAAACTGCCATGTGTTTATCTCACTCAATAGTTCACTTTATTACGCGTCAATCTTAAAAAATCCTAAGTGTCTGTTTGCATTTTATTATAGACCAAAGTATCCTGTGTGCAAAAAAAAAGTGTTTTTTTCAGAAGCTACATAGTTTTTTTATTTCTCGAAAACCACTTTATGCAATAGATTTCAAATTTGCAACGACAATATGCACTATCGAACCTGTGCACGTGCAAAATTTAACAATTTCATTTAATTCACCGACAACAGTCAACGGGATCTTTATAGGGAAATAAATTTGTAGTACCGAACGCAAGTTAAATCAGCAACAACGTAGGAATGTAGTTATTTTGTAAAATGGCAAAGAAAAAGAAAAAAAACGCGTAAACGACGAAAGCACCCAAACATTTTGTTCGTATTGAATAAGTGGAACGTCACTCATGACTGACAGTGTGATGACAGCCTTATTGTTTGACAGGAGCCATAGATAATATTTATTTAAAAAAAAAAGCCGGCACGTACCCTCTTTCTATATCTATGGTTACTTGTTGACTTTAAGGATCTATAACACTCGATATCCCTTTTCGTTAACTTTTGGTATATCTACCATAATGATCAATATTAATCTATACTATATATCTGAATAGATTGAGACAAAACCGTTTTGTATCTCTTTCTCATTTGTTTTTTAGCCGATTTTCATTTTACAGACTGCTATTAAAGTCGAGCGACATTCCAAATATTTTGTTTTTAGAGAAATCTGTTGTTAATAATGAATCACAATCGTTATCTTAAATTGCATTGCAAAAATACCATTTCCAAAAACAATACCTAAATTTAAGATTAACCAAAGTATGGCGTTGAAAAGAGAAGCCCCCTCCCAACACCCCTCGCCCCGGGTATTACAAACCCTACATACTGCTATTAAAGTCGAGTGACAATCCAAATATTTTGTTTTTAGAGAAGTCTGTTGTTAATAATGAATCACAATTATGATCTTAAGTTGCATTGCAAATATAACATTTCCAAAAACAATACCTAAATTTAAAATTAACCAAAGTATGGCGTTGAAACGAGTCGCCCCGTCCCAACACCCCTCGCCCCGTGTATTACAGATCCTACAGACTTCTATTAAAGTCGAGTGACATTCCAAATATTTTGTTTTTAGAGAAGTCTGTTGTTAATGATGAATCACAATTATAATCTTAAATAATTGCATTGCGAAAATAGTATTTCCAAAAACAATACCTAAATTTAAAACTAACCAAAGTATGGCGTTGAAAAGAGACGCCCCCTCCCAACTCCCCTCGCCCCGTGTGTTACAGACCCTACATACTCCTATTAAAGTCGAGTGACATTCCAAATATTCAGTGTACGATTAAACGAAGTTACATTAGGGACTTGACACACACTGACCCCCGCTACGTCGCGCGTATCGTTGGGCGGTGCGCGCTAACGTTTGCGTGTGCGTATCGCGGTCCGGTTGACGGCGCATTAGCTGTGTGTCGCGGCGTTGTTGGATGTTCGTGTGAGCTCTGACGCGCACACCGGCTCCGACGTCTGTGCGATAGCTGGAATTAAATAGAACGTTCGATTAAAGACCTCGTCAAACAGAACGCCGCGTACTTAGCGCCGCGTTTTTTTCATGTCACACAAATTGACTAGATGAGCCTAACGCTCCTTGACGCAACGTAACATCCGCCAAATTTTTTTTTACTGTCTTTGTAGGCAGACGAGCGTACGGCCCACCTGATGGTAAGTGGTTACCGTCGCCCATGGACTTCAGTAATGCCAGGAGCAGAGCCAAGCCGCTGCCTACCGCAAAATCATAGTGCCTTTCTATAGCAGTCTGAAAATTTAAAAGTATTATGATGTCGAGTGATTCAGATGTGGCATTTTATTAGCGTGGGTATTTTCTAACTAATTATATCATATATTTTTTATTGCTTAGATTGTTGGACGAGCTCACAGCCCACCTGGTGTTAAGTGGTTACTAGAGCCCATAGATATCTACGACGAAAATGCGCCACCCACTTTGAGATATAAGTTCTAAGGTCTCAAGTATAGTTACAACGGCTGCCCCACCCTTCAAACCGAAACGCCATACTGCTTCACGGCAGAAATAGGCGGGGTGGTGGTACCTACCCGCGCGGACTAGAGGTCCTACCACCAGTAAAATACACGGTAGCGCGTTACCTGTGATGTCGCGTCCCTTCTAGAAGAGACTACAATGCCGCCGCCGGCCCTTGATGGGCTGCACCGGGCATAGCACGGCGCGAATCGCCTCGTCAAACACGGTCTTCAGGCCCTTCTGCGTCAGCGCCGAACACTCCAAATACTTGACAGCGTTTATCTCCTTGGACATGCCCAAACCCTGGACGAGAAATTAATTAAATTTACCCTCCGTCTCTATGTGTCCGAACTGGATATACATTCATATCTTGATTAGAGATGTATACTTTATCCAAGCCTAATGGATCAATGTGGTAAACAAACAACACTTTTCGCAATATCACGATTTTTGCACTCAAACACATTTAATGATGTTAACATGTCTTAAACCAGTTAAGAAACACCTACAGTACATATTAATGCGGAAATTGTTTTAAATTAACAATTTAAACACAATATTTAAATAAATTTTATTCTTCTTTTTTTTTAATAAAATTTACTGACTTGGAAACAAAGTCCTTTAAGCCAAAAAAATTGTGGCCACAGACTAAACAACGACATGGCATATTGACATTTCGTAAATTCGTATTTCGTACAAGAACAAAGCATACCTGCGTGTAGGTGATCGGGGCTAGTTTCTTGTCCTTGAGCTTCTCAATGGTGTCCTTGTCTTCGCGTAAGTCGAGCTTGGTCCCGACCAGGATGATGGGCGTCGACGGGCAGTGATGCCGAACTTCTGGATACCACTGAAAACGAAAACAAGCTACCGTCAAAAAAATCGTGCAACTTAACTCATAGAGACAACGCACTAAGGTTCTCGCCGGATCCTCTTAGTGGGTCGCTATTTCGATCCAGTGCTAGATTCAACGTCGCACTGCTCTTGCTAGCACAGATGTTAGCAAAGACTGATCCCCGTGATCTCCAGTTTGGTGAAACCCGAATAGGCCCCCGATACTACTGGTAATTGGGTCGGAACAAGCTAAAATATTTATCCTAAAAAAAAATCTACATATCGTCTTCTCGCATTAAAATGTATAATCTCAAAACTTACTAATTTTACAGAAGAGTGTTTTAAAGGTTTAACATGTGATATTTTTAATATTAATCATCTTTGCAACATTTATTTTTTATTTTTTACCAGTTACCTTGGAGCAGTGATTCTCAACCACTGTTCCGCGGCACTTTTGTGTGCCGTGAAATTTCAAAAGTGGGCCGCCAAATTTTGCCAATATATAATGATGTTAATATTATTAAATTATATCAAATATTGTTTTTTTTTATTAATTTAGCTTATAATTAATCCCGTTTTAAACGTTTAAATATTATTAAAGCATATATTAGTTTATTTCGTGTATTTAATGGTTTTTATAAACGTTTTATGCAGTGTTTTAGAAAGTAATAGTTTAAATCTTTTTCTTTGTGTGCCGCCAAATTTTAAAATCGTTTGATGTGAGCCGCCAAATTTTAAAATCGTTAAATATGTGCCGCAACAAATAAAAGGTTGAGAATCACTGCCTTAGAGTATACATACTATAGCTTGCTTATGTATACTCTAAGCCAGTTACATTATCTGTCTATTAAAGTAACATAAAATTATGAATTAATTTTGTTAATAGTAGTCAAAACATAGGTAAACTAAAAAAAAGAAGTAAAACTGAACTACGCTCTTTTGACAGTATTTATGAGAAAAATACTGGTGATACCAAATGATTAAGCATATTAAGGCAATTTCGAATATTTTAAGAAATTGTACACTTTTAATGCGAAAAGACGACATATTGTTCATTACTAAATTAGACAAAACCATAGAGTAATAAACATCTATATACAATCTATGATCATTTCTTGTCACTTATGTCAATACAATCCACGCGGCATCGATAATGATGTGTTTACATTCAAATCGATGTCATGTGTTTTTATTACTGTCCCGAACAAAATACAGATAACTGTTTCTATGCAATAGAGACGACACAATACTCAAATTATCTTCGTTCTAGCTTACGTGTCCGACTTCTCAAAACATCATGACGTATTAAATTCGGATTCACGTGTAATTATTTGTTTCGTCGGGTCTTGACTTTTAGACTATAATTTTTAGATAATCATCTCACTTATATCTTGTATTGGGTGATACCCGTGGATTCGCGCGCGTAGTCAAGGAAATATGTCACCATTTTTTTCTACATATAAGTAAAAATTTCCCGAAATGAAATGTTTTTTTTGGGAAAAAATTTGCTGTCACATTAATGGCCAAAAAACGATCGCTTTGAAAAAATCATCTCATCGATTATCTCATCATCAATCTGTTATTTTGTTTCGACGTGAAAGACGGACAAACAAACAATCTTTCACGTTTGTAATGTTAAAATGATAAATATTATTAAAAAAATATTCAAATTAACAATTTGGTAGTATTTTTGGTTTCATTAGACCTAATTGTGATTTGTCTAATTTGAAATATTCTAATTAAAACCTGACCTCTAATACTGAACGCAGCAAATACAAATAGAAATTTTGATTAAAGCATTTCGTTTGGGATGAAATAATATATTTTTACCGTGTCAGCATCGGCAACAATTCCCTTACAACTTTAATGATAATGTACGTTCAAAGAATTAACTTTTCGTGACAATTCTTATGTATCCAACTTTGCGATTATTTTATTACCAATCATTTCAATCTAATTTTCATATCAATTGCATCGCCGCTATCTTATTAGGAGTAACGTCTAAAGATGCCTTTCAGACTACGCTATACTATAGTGCAATTTAGTATAGCAGCCTATATGTACCTAACCAATCTTAATATAAGATAATATATTATATAAATTGTGTCCGAACCGATTTCAACCGTATTTTTTTTAAATATGTGTTTTGTTCCAACTTAGGCCATAGGCCATAGGATGTTTTTATTTCGGTTAATGGTCGCAATATTTATTAATTAACAATAAAATGATTTCTTGTGTCGATTATTGTTATTAATAGTAAGTTTCATAAGTCTAAAACAGATGGCGCCTTAAATCAGTTTTTACAGACAATTGTAATACTGTCTGACATTAATATCTCATAGATGGCGCTGTGTTAAAAATACCAATGTTTCACATAAGCTACAATTTAATGGCATAAACTCCACGTGCTGCTGAAGCTAAAGTACATAATTATAAGTGAAATTTATCTCGTAGTAAACGCAATACAGTGAAATCCAATTGTTCTTACTTTGTTAACTTTTGGTATTAGCATAGCCGGCCACGTGTTATGTATTTAGAAACAAAAACCTTAGCCACAGCAACGTGTGGCCGGGTCTGCTAGTAATATATAACAGTGTGAACGTACGTGTCCATAACAATGTATAGTGTGCGATATTGTTATATTATGAGCTATATACTATATGCTACTGGTTGTAGGACCTTTTGTGGGTACGCGCGGGTAGGTACCACCAACCTGCCTATTTCTGCCGTGAAGCAGTAATGCGTTTCGGTTTGAAGGATAGGGCAGCCGTTGTAACTATACTGAGACCTTAGAATTTATATCTCAAGGTGGGTGGCGCATTTACTGTTGTAGATTTCTATGGGCTCCAGTAACCACTTAACACCAGGTGGGCTGTGAGTTCGTCCAACCATCAAAACAATAAAAAAAAGCAATAAAAAAAATTAAAAAAATGCTATTATATTATAGCGTATTCTGAAAGCGGCTTAATGTATTCTATGATAAAGTGAAAGATACACGGAAACACGATAGATACAAAAATATTTATACGGAACGTGGAATATAGATAAAATCGATTTATATTGTCAGATCAATACTCTAACTGAGAATGACAAAAAATTAATTGAGAGACTCAAACCTTTTACGGATTCGTTTTAAACATGTCACAAAAAAAACTGTATCTGATGTATGTTATGGAATTTATTTTGTCGTTTCAAAGTTGAAAAGCAATCAAGACAGCGAGTTCCTTATCGATCGAAACGAAATACCAAATCCAAAGATTCAACATTTTCCATATTTTGTTGTCTCATAGAGTTAAGAATAACAAGATATGTCAGAAATAAATTGTAAGCTTTGTAATTTCAATCGAAGCTGCGTTATAATGACCAATGACGTCAATGCTCGTGTGTTCCATTTGAAGTATGTACGAATAATTTACTAGCGAGAAAGAGACAGAGATATCACTTAAAAAATCGTTACGTTACGTTATCAGCTATTTCTTCAAAAAATCCTGTTCAATTTAATTATAATTAATCACTGAGTCTATTTATTATAATATGGCATTAATTCAACTTATTGGGCTTACTTTGTGAAAACGAAACCTATGCAGTGTATAAAGTCAATGAACTATACATAACTGGGTCACACGTTTTGCATATGAAGTGTAATTTCCAATCAATCACCGTAGTTTATTTGCGTAGTGTTACGCATTTTTCTTTTTTAACTCTCGAGTTATAGCTGGAACGAATTTAATCAAGTGCTTCATATGTAAAATTCTTCATATGTAATCTTTTTCTCTATCTTTTATTATGTTCCGTTATGGTCTATTTTAGCCGGTACATAAAGCTATACATAAAGCTGCTTACATACTGTAAATTCATTGTGTTCAATAATATTATTGACATTATTTAAATATACAGTATTTCCAGATGCCGTAAAAACCAATTTAAATGGCTTCAAATACGGCAATTCATGTGATTAAGAACAGTTACTGAATCAAATTTAATCAATACATATGTGTATTATTTGTTCTGTGCCATCGTTATGAATAACTTAATAAACAACAAAACTTTAGATTTCACTTAAAAATGTACGGTACAGATATCATTTTAGTTTTGTTTTTTTTTTCCTACATAGGCAAGAATCCTTCTCCTTGACACTTGAGCTTCAAGTCGCGAATAGATTCATCGATTCATAATGTTTATCTTATGTTAACCAAACTTGTGTGTATATTACCTTGGCCCGAACGTTTTCGAATGAGGCTGGGTTGACGAGCGAAAAACATATAAGGAAGACGTCCGTTTGTGGGTAGGAGAGGGGGCGGAGTCGATCGTAGTCTTCCTGTCCGGCTGTATCCCAAAGGCCCAAGTTGATTGGCTTTCCATCTACCATGACATTCGCCGAGTAATTGTCGAATCTGAAATTAAATTGAAATTTTATGAGACGGACGGACGGACGGATTTTACTGGTGGTAGGACCTTTTGTGAGTCCACGCGGGTGGGTACCACCACCCTGCCTATTTCTACCGTGAAGCAGTAATGCGTTTCGGTTTGAAGGGTGGGGCAGCCGTTGTAACTATACTTGAGACCTTATATCTCCAGGTGGGTGGCGAATTTACGTTGTAGATGTCTATGGGCTCCAGTAACCACTTAACACCAGGTGGACTGTGAGCTCGTTCACCCATCTAAGCAATAAAAAAAACACGTCTGGGAATCTATTACATAGTAGGTATATGTGGGGGGTGTTATTTTTATTACTTTTTTTTCAGTTTTTTTTTTTAAATTTTTTTTTTTGTTAGCCTGTTGCAGTGACAACATTATATCAGGCTCAGAAAGTGATAGCAGTTTAAAGTTAGAGGGAGTAGGAAGAAAATTTTTAGAAAGACGTGTACGAAGTGATTGTGAGCTATAATAAATAATTTCGCTATATTCATCCCGCTTTTACTCATGAACGTTACCACATTTATCTAAATCCTTCAGGACAATCCCAAAACGAGATCTCAGATCTCGGGACTTGGAAGGAACAATCATGTATTTAAAATTGCATTCAGGACTAGTCCGAAAATGAACAAACCAGACGAAATTATGGATTTAAAAACGGAACTGACAGCCCGTTGAGCTAGTTAAAGCTAATCTAGAAACTGGAGTAAATTTAGCTCTTATGTTCTGAACTTAAGAGTTAGATGCAGACGCATCTAATGGTAGTAGTATGGTATAATGTTTTAGTTTTCCAGCTACATTTATGTTACTAACCAACATCCGTATTCCAGGGTTACCAATGCCGCAAAGAATTCAAATTTTATCCTATAAAAATAAACTTAATAAAAAAAACGACACGAATAAAAAAAAAAGTATAATACTTCAAGGGTAAATGCTATTAGCGAACCATTACGGAACAGAAAATTAGATTTATAAGAAAATAGACCTTTTTACTTACACTGTAGGTATATATTCGCCGGGAAAAGCATTTGTAGTGTAACTGATGAGCAGACATGTTTTACCGACGGCACTGCGGACAAAAGAGAGAAAAATATATATTAAAAGTCTGCAAGCGCGAGACACTCACCTAAAAACGACTTCCTTATATTTATTCAGACGGACAGTCTGAGTATCAACATGTTTTTCTATGAATTTAAATTTAAAAAGCTCTTTTTTGTTTTTTGTTCTACTTAAATTTTAGGAGAATTTTGTAAAAATGTACGTGATTCAAAAATATATTATTATATAATATATTATAATATAAATTCTCAAAATCACCCAGTCGTAGCAGTGAGTTTAACGTTTACACAACGATCTTAAATTACAAAACAAAAATTTATTTACATCCTCAAGCATTAATAACTTTTTTTCAACCTATGCTGATAGGCTTGAGAGGCTATTTCAGCTTCTCCTTGACGTGTAGGTGAGCTCACGGGGCTCAAACCGGGAGTGTTGCTAACACTGGCCCTAGCAAGGGCAGTGCTTCGCAGAATCTGCCACTGGATCGGAAATGCGATCTACTGAGAAGATCCGGCGAGAAACTCAGTGCGCTGTCTCTATGGGTTAATTCGCTCGTCGAACCCATCGCAAGCGACGGATTCGGCGAGGACGGCGACCGGTACTTGTGGTACCTAAAAGCACCGTTAATGGATCGGGAGGATCCGTAATGACGTGAATTAATAGCGACGATTATCCCCGTATGTAGTTTAAGCTCAGTTATTTAAATCCTATGTATGATCTTCAATTATCTTCTATTAGGATAGTGTTTTTTAACATCGTATTTAATAGTATTTTTCGGCGTTAGCAACTATTCTGCGAAGTGTGCCGTTCCTGTTATTTATATAAATAAAAATTAATGCTCGTTAGTATGGTTGTTTGTTTGTCTACTATGTGCAGCTAAAAACATCTGATTAAGAAGTAATTTGGAAACTATTTCCTTGGGCAGTCCAGGAAAGATTCCAGTCATATCACAGTCAAAGTACGTATAACCTCTCTCAATTACTTCATATCACGATCATTATTGTAAATATTAATAGCACAGGAGTGTTGGTGGTCGTCTGTATTTTCGCCTGATATTACTTTAATTGGCTAAACTAAACTAGCTTCACAGTGATAAGTAAAATAATTTTCAAAATAATAGAACTGCTAATTTAACTTTGAAAATAAAATGTAGATATATAAAAAAAAAAAAGAATAACAAAATACATACAGCCCCACCGTCTGTATGTACCTTTACATTGTTGACCTAAAGCATAATACATCTTGAACACGTTCATACCGAGGGTTTCAGAATACGACAATGCAAAAATCATACTACCCACAGGCACACACACGAGACTCACCTTGTGTACACGGAAGTCATTTACTAAGATGCGTATCATCTATATATTAACGTGAAGCAAAAACTTTGTATCCTGTTTTACGAAAATTGCGCGGACGAAGGAGTATGAAATTTTCCACACTTATAGAGAATATAGAGAAGAAGTGCTAATATTTGCTAATTTTTTTTTTAAATAATGCATAAAAGATACATTAAATCAATAAAGAAAACATTACACACACTACATACCATGTATTTGACGCACACACGCATGCATACTATTTATTGTCAAACTTTTGTTCTTGACGTCTGTTGTCAAATTGAGATTAAATATTGTTTGTCTTTGTTAATATTTTTTATAGTGTAGCCTTGGCGAAATTTGTGATTATAGAAGTATAAAATACAATCATAATAGCGTACAAACTTACAATTCTAATTAATTATAGTCGAATTTCGACTACTGCGGGACCTCTAGTTATTTTTATAACAAGCGAATTGACAGCTTATAATGCAAACCCTAAATTTGTATAAACTTTTCGGAATTCGTTACAATTCAGGACCACGAATTTTTTTTTTTTTTTTTTTTTTATTGCCTCTGTAGGCAGACGAGCATACGGCCCACCTGATGGTGAGTGGTCACCGTCGCTCATGGACGTCAGCAATGCCAGGGGCAGAGCCAAGCCGCTGCCTACCATAAAGAACTCTCCGCAAGCCTCGTTTGAAGAAGGACATGTCATAGCGCTCGGAAAACACCGTGGAGGGGAGTTCATTCCAAAGCCGGATGGTACGTGGCAAAAAANCAACCCACGCCCCGCGGACTTGCGCGCACGTTTGCTCTGCATGTTCCAAGTATCACCAAGACTCACCCCCAACAAGGAGGAGGAAAGGAAAGGAATAGAACTGGCTCTCCAACCCACATGCCGGAACACAGCTAGGCTATTTGGCGGCAGACTCTAGTTGGAGGGTGGTCGCCAGCCAGTCGGACTAGGTCCTACCACCGATTGTATTTTCGGCTCCCGTTTAGCACCACCCAGGGGTTACTTGTAGGGAATCGCGGGTTAAACCTACGGAAGCGGGAAGCATCAACCCCCAATTATTGAAGACTTATTGTATGTTACAATATTTTCTTCGGAATTCGCGATTCGTATACAGAATTAACTTATCTAGCACCTGAGATACTATTACCGAGATGAAAACTCAAATCAAACAAACTGCCAAACCTCTCGAGATACTATTAGTTCGTTCTGTGTGAAATGAAACGTAAAAGTACAGAAATACTTTTTTTATAGAAAATTGCGACGGTAGTTAGCATAATATTCAAATGTCTGCAAATCGATTAAGGTGTTAGTCGTTCTTGACCACGAAAACCTGTAAAGTACTCGACATGTCGGAAATAATATCGCAACTTTAGAATTGAAGTGGCGTAACTAAAATGTTTATGAGTTTTATACTTTAAAAAACTTATAAACATGATGAATACAGTTTTAAAACAGTTTGTAACAGTTTATAAAATTATTATTAGCAGGCTCTTTTAGTCTAGAAAAGGCCAAAGTACTATTTCCGTCCCTTTTAAATCAAACGAATACCCTAGAGCAGTGATTCCCAAAGTGGTCTATATCGACCCCTAGGGATCTATGACAACCTCCAAGGGGTCTACGTCAGCGAAAAAAAAATTTGGGGGTCCACGATAGTGGATCTCAACACATACACTGATAGTACCTATTTACTTACATCATACTATCTTATAATATCAAGACATCATTAGCCGAGGAGATTTAAGATTAACCCTTACAAATTTGACGTCAAATGTTGATAATTTATTATTAAAGCATCAGGTTCATCCTTCTCACTAAAAATATTGACTTATTGCTTATGTTATTTTATTTATAGTTTATTTTATGTTTATTTTATGTTACGTATATTTTACATAACAGATACAAAATTTTATTTTGAGTAGTTTTAATTTAAATTCAATTAATAAATGTATAAATTAACATGTGTTTTTACTTTAAGTTTTTAACACTAAACTTTACTACAGTTAGAAATTTACAGGAAATCAATATCAGGTAAGTAGGGGGTCTACCCAACACGGAAAAACATGGCAAGGGGTCTACGACACAAAAAAGTTTGGGGAACTCTGCCCTAGAGTATTCAAATCGAAAAAATAATAATTACAGTTCTTCTATTACATTTTCGGCGTTTACAAAAAACAATAATTTTGGATTAAGCCACTTCAATTCTAAAGGTGCGATATAAAGACTATTAAAAAAAACGCAAGATTCAATCGTAATAGTAGTTTCATGACCTTACAGCATACATGGGTATTATAGGGAGTAGAGAAACCACACACACACCATTGTCTAATTTGAAAAGTGATTTGGAATTCTCGACAGGGAAGCAAGCTCTTGTTTAACGCGCTGTAATTGGCTTGACCCTCATCTATCTTTATATCTAACAGAACATTTTAGTGTGAATATTTTTTAAATAACGTCATTCCGTAACATGAAGACCTTCAACATAGTGTTTATCTAAGCGTCCGCGAAAAAAATAGACAAATTACTGAAAATTGTAGAATAAAATTAATACCGCCACCCACATTGACACATGAGTTCTAAGGTCTCAGTTTTTACAATACAACGGCTGTCTGACCCTTCAAGCCGAAACGCGTTACTGCTTCACGGCAGAAATGGGCAGGGTAGCGGTAGCTACCCGTGCGGACTCAAAGGACGTATCTTCTTATGCTATAATATAATAAACTATTTCAGTACAACCCTAGTTTCAGACGGGGTCAATGCCCTTGCAAGTGTCGGGTTGATACTTCAGACCTGAAACTTTTGGGACGAAACGGGTTACGAAAATCAGAACTCTGCAATACTAAAATAGATTAAAACTTCTTAGAGAGACATTGTTTTTTTCCTACCTATTTGTTTGTAGCCTAAGAGGCTATTCCAGCTCCTAGCTCCTAGCTCACGGGCAAAACCTGAGAGAATTATCTAACAAGACATTGACGTAACACATCTAGGAAGCAATGTTTTCAGATGACGCATGTTAAATACATTTCATTGAGATGTAAAGTGCCTACTGTCCCTCTACCTTTAGAATCAGTAGCTTCGTCGTCAATTCAGTCAATACCCGTAAGTGGGTTAACGGAGACCACTAACGTCACCCATTGTTGTCAGCTTGTCACTAGTTTATGACATGAACAACCCAGCAATATAGGACGTTGAGTATAGAGAGAACAGAAAAGGATGTGGTACAATGTCAAAACATAATTATCTATAATATATTAATACGTGAAGCAAAAACTTTGTATCCCTTTTTACGAAAATTGCGCGGACGGAGGAGTGTGAAATTTCCCACACTTATAGACAATATAGAGAGGAAGTGCACAATGCTAATATTTTTTAAAATTTATGCATTAATAATACATTAAATCATCAAGGAAAACATTACACACACACTACCCTGTATTTGACGCACACACGCATTCATACTATTTATTTATTGTCAAACTTTTGTTCTTGACGTCTGTTGTCAAATTGAGAATAGATTAAATATTGTTTGTCTTTATTAATATTTTTCTATAGTGTAGTCTTGCCGAAATTTGTGATTATAGAAGTATAATAGTCTTTGAAAATAGAATCTTAATAGTGTACAAACTTATGATTTCAATGAATTATAATCGAATTTCGACTACCGGGCGACCAGTA